CATTAAATTGTCAAACGCAATACAACGCATTTTAGGATTCAAAGAATAATTCAAATCCAGAAAGATCGTTCAGAAATAAAGGAAAATTACATGATGTTAATTCACGGTAAACAACTGGCAAGCGTGTTAAAAGCAGTGTGCGATTAACTTATTATTTATTCTAATATATGTGAACCTAGTTTTTTGGGGACACGTTTGCACATTGATTAAAAATAGTTAACTTGGATGCTAAAGAAGTTCTTTTTGGTAGTGCAGATGTCAAGATGTATATGCCTGTTGCATCGTACCCCTCTATAATAGATTTCATATAATCGAAATAGATATTAGAGACCAATTCGGTAAAACGATAGCATTCGAGTTTGGGACACTGACGATAGTGTTACATTTTAGAAGAGTGTTTTTTAGAACCCTTGTATAAAGTTTTTAAGATATCGTTCTCAATACGATGGTGGAGATAGAGGTATCAAGCAAATGTTTGCTGGTTCGCATGGGCAGTGAGGCTATGGTTTAGGCTCTTGTTTTACGGGCCTTTTTTGCACAGCTATGCCATATATAATAAAAAGTGCACGCGTTATTGGAAAAGAAGTTATTCGAACTGGTGTGAATATAATTAATAACATTGGTAAGCATGGTTTGCCATTTAAAGATTGTCTTGACAAATCGTGCAAGCGAATCAGGTATAAACTCAAAACGTAAAGCAATGAAAATGATTGTTAAATTAATGGAAGGATCCGGATATAATGCTTTTACTGTATAAACATTGAGCGCAATCTTGTACACTGAAAATGAAATAGTGTACCTGCTTAACTAGAGATAAGGCAGTTGTTACCTCGCTCACACTAAAGCAGAAGCAGCCCAAGATTAGTGCTGTTGCTGCGCGAGACTTGGGCAGCAGCTGCACAAGTCGTATGGTGTACGTGTTGAGCAAACTGCATGGTGCAGCAGCAACGCTAGTCATAGGGTATTTCAAGAAAGCTACATAACAATATAAGGTAAAGTACCCTCTATTCGGACACATAATTTTAGGTAATCCACTATTTCTAAATTCACAAAGAAATTAGCTGTTTTTACGAAAAAGACGGTTGACATATAGATAATAAAGTAATTTTTCTGTCACTTGAAAAAAAAAAGTTCTTTGTGACCGTGTGATCATTGTTTAAAATAGTTATAAAGATTCAGTCTCAAAACCCCTATATTCGGACAATGCATTTCTAAATAGTCCAAATATAGGTCCCGTTACGACGTAGGGACCATAGACAGTCGTGAATATTGAGAAAATGAGGTTATGGCAGATCTTTATATACAGTTATATTTTACTTTAATGGCTTAAATTTGTTAAACAAATGCAAAAAACAAATTATTATTATATTTTACTACATTGTATACCATTTCTTTGCACTTGTAAGCTAGTGAATTGCTGGATTATGTGTGTCCGAATATGGGGTACAGTTTGAACCGTAGTATCTAATTTCCGGACAGCAGCCAAACACAAAAAACCTCGATTTGCAAGAAAAAACATTTCTTTTAATGAATTATCAAACTAATACGACATATGTTGTAAGTATCCTAAATCAATTCGATACTGTAGATTACAAATAAATTTTTTCATTCAGAAATTGTAAAAAAATTATGTAATTATCGCTGCTGTCCGGATATAGGTCCGAACAACACTTTTGTCTGAATATAGGGTACTTTACCTTACGCATTAAGAAAAATCGGTATAAATTCATAACACGCTTACGCATAAAAGTATAGTGCGTGGTGTAACGCACAATTTAACAGATAATTGATTGGTCAGTCTAGATAAATAACAAGGTTCACGCTCTGATTGCACTGCACACAAGAGACAAGAAGCATCTGATGTATAGAAGGCATGAGTAGCAGACACCTTAAGATTCGAGTGCCACTGACGTACAAATCTGGAATGTGAGCTCCCCTGACTTGTGCGACTGCTGCACAAGTGACTGAGATAAAAAGTATTAGGGTATTTCGTGTGATTTTTGCACGTGCTGTGGTGGAGGATGCACAATTTCATTTTCAGTGTAGCAGAAGCGATACCCAACACACCTCTACGACTCGTGCTAAAAAAAAAACATCTCGTATGACAAAACAAGGAAAAAGAAAAGTGTTGTTAAAAAAATAAGAGCATAGGAAGGAAAACGAATGGTAAAAAAATTAAGCGTGTTAACTGTAAACAGAGTAAAAATTCGTAGAAAAAAAAATCTAAAGTGACCGATAAATTTAGATAAATATTCATAATGTCTTCTTTACATAGCTATACTGATCCGTGTCGCAAAAGTGAGTTGGATTTATTTTCTCTTGCTATTACTCAGACAGCGTTAAAGTTGAGTCGATGGGCTTATATTAAACCTGTTTCGTTACTAACGGACAAAAGTCCAATATAGTTTGACATAAACTCTCAGAATGAGGATTATTTGGACCTTGTAAACACAATGCTAAGAGTTAATGTAAAATTAATACCTTACAACGAGGATACAGATGCGTCTGTGGCTCCAGTAAATAATTTCTTACACTCTATATTTCTTCAAGTTGACGTATACTTTAATGAAAAAATAGTGACCCCTCCTAATAATGCTAACCCGTACAGAGCATACATCGAAACTGTATTAAATTATAAACCTGCAGCAAAAACTTCTCACTTATCCACGTTTTCTTGGGAAACTGATGTAGCTGGTGAGATGGATAAATTACCGGGATCGGAGAAAAATGAATCTTTTGCAAAACTTTAAGAGTATTTAAAGGATGGATGACAGTGGACTTAATGGGTTAGTTGCATTGCAATGTGTTAAATCGAGATAAACTTTTATTAAATGGTGCCGAAATTCGCATATGTCTGGTTCGTTTAAAGGATGCATAATATTTGATGGATACATCTAGAAAAAATTATTCAGTCAGTATTATCGAAGCAATACGTCTCGTATAATGAGTAAGAGTAAGTCCCGCAGTTTTAATTGCAACAAAGACTTTAGGAAGCACTACTGCAAAATATCAAACCATCCTTGTGAAAGTTCAATCTTTTACTGTTTACAGTGGTATTACAAGTGACTGTTTGTTTTAAGTTATTCTTAGCCAGTTACCAAAAAGAATAATACTAGCATACATTGACAATAAAGCTTTTAATGGGGATAGAAAACTTATATCCTTTAATTTTCAAAATTACTCTATTAATTTTTTGTCATTGTATGTTTATGGGAGTACAAATTTCGAGCAAACCATTACAACCTTCTTTTACAGGAATCGGATCTATGTATGTTGAAGCTTATCATACGTTATTCTCTGGCTCTGGAATTCATTACATGGACAAGGGAAACAGCATACACACAAAAGATTACCCAAAAGGGTATTATTTTTTTGAATTAGATCTTACACTAGATTTGTTTGCGCACTTTGTGGGTCATATTAGAATTCAGTTATAAATGGTTCCGTAATAATAAAAGTACGCTCTGAGACGCCTTTGATAAAAACGATAAAATTCGTTCTCTACTGGGAGTTTAACAACGTGTTAGAAATAGAATCAAATTGCCAGATAGTTGTGGATTTCAACGCTTCAAAAGAATTTCTTTTTCTCTCTTTTTGTTACCTCCCTTCTAACACCACTGCCGCCGCTGCCCCTATCACTCCTCTTTTCATATTTACTACTACTAATTAAGCGCTGTTACAAACCTTTTTTTCTTTAACCTGTAGTCTCGAGTCTTTCTTTGAACTCTAGGCATTAAAAAGAATTTCTAGCATCATGGAAGAAGCATGTGTTGAACACTTTTCATTATGTGTATGACATGAAGTATATTGCGTCATGGTAAGATCTCGCAACCTTTCAGTACAATCTTGGTGAATAAATTTTAGAGCTACATAATTGTTAAAAACTCGTAATTACTTTTAAATTGCGGTACAAATAATATTCAAAGTAGGAAAAGTGCGCTTCTGTAGTATAGTAGAGTAACCATTAAATAGTATTTAAGTAATTACGTGCAGATGTATAACAGGAAAAATTTAATCAAAAGTAACAAAAAGTCAAATAGTAAAAAATCTATATTTAATAACAATAGCTAAGTGCTATTAAATTTTAAAAGAGAGGATCTAGAGTTTTTATGGCTTCTATTAAAATAAAAAAAAATTATCATAAAACGTTGTTTGTAATAAAATTAACAATATTTTTGTGGTCAAAAAACAAATCTCTAAAACTTGAAATTTTTTTCTGCAACAGTTTACAAGTTGATAACATCATTGGATTAAAATTTAGTTTGTCGAATCATACAAAATGTAGTAGCTTAGTAGAATATTGAGCTTAGCACACATCAGTTTATTTTTTACTTAAATTTTTAAAGTAAATTATGTTTAAAATATCCAAAATATTTTTAATTTTATTGATCTTAGTTCTGATAACAAGTTTAATTTTTATACTTTTAGTACGTTTTCACTATTTAGAAAATGACTAAAAGAAGATAAACGATTATTGTAAATAATTTTACTTTCGTGAAATTCTATCTTTAGGATTACAAGTTATTCTAATAAATTAATAAATAAAAACAACTGCTCCGTGGAAAGACTGTGCAATGCACCTGAAATTTGCACTTTAAAATAATTTACCCTTCGTTAAATCTGTAAGTAGTGATTTTCCGACTTGTACACACCTATCCCCAATTTTACAAAATTTCTTACTCTTAGATAAAATGATTGATTTAAATGTATCACTATTGTTGAATTCAAATTTAACTATGCATCAGTATTGTCTCTTACAGTTTACATTTTGTACAGTTATGCAAACTCCTATAAAAACAAAACTTACCCCATCAATATTGTCAGTATTGTGAATTTTTTACACAAGTACTTTAACCATTTAAAAAAATTTTTTCTTTGGTTCATTTGAATGTGACATATGCACAACCCATTCATCTTTCGATGTAGAATTATTGCAAAAAATCAAAGTCCTAAATTATATTTACTAGATAACATAAAATACGGTGTAATATTTATTTCAGGGCAGACTTTTGGAAATCACAAGCACGTAAATACTGTGACTCTTGCAAGTGTTGGATTGCTGACAATAAACCAAGTATTGATTTCCATGAAGGTGGTAGGAAACACAAAGAAAATGTTAGTAAAAGACTTAAGGATCTTTATAAAAATAATGCTAAACAAGCTAAGATACGAAAACGTTTTGAAAAGGATATCGAAAAAATGGAAAAGGTGAGATACCTATTATTATCGTTTATTCTATTGGCCACAACTTTGTCCATTTAAAATACTAGTTTTTTTTTTCAAAATTCTAGTTCTCATTATTACTTAAATATTTTGCATTCTTATGAACTATGGAGTTCATAACTTTTGAGATCAGAACAAGAAAAAGTAACAAAGGTACCTTCACTACGAATTTATCTTAGGTGGCTCTACTATCGCTAGAGTGACAAACTTAATTTTCCAATATAAAAAGGTATACTGTGACGATGATTTTTCAAGCCGATAACCAGCCACCTGGATCCTGTCACAAAAATTCTCTCGTACGTCACTTACCTAGTCCCTACACACTGGATTCCTCTCTTCCAGGAGATCTGCCACAGGTGTCTGGCTAGGACCCGCCAAACACTCCTAAAAGGAAATGAAAAAGAGGGAAAGGAGGCACTAATTATGAATAAACACAATCACCGACGTAAATTTCACAGCACGCTCACGCTATTCATTCGTCCTCTACACACTTTCGAATATCACACTTTTTCTCTCTCTCTTCTCTATAAATTACACCGTGCCTTTAAGGTCAGTATGCCACTCGATGTATGTGCTCTGGTTGTCCTCGCTGTCGAGTTTTTCCTTGGCTCGGCTGTTGGAGGCCTAAACTTACCTTACGTACACACGCATATACCAAGACACACCATGTCATGCACACCTCGTAACAGTCACCATCCGCGCGCGTCACTAACCTGAAAAATCCCTCTCTCACTCACGCGTTTCTAACATCCACCTTATCCGTGTATTTATTCACACACTCGTTCGCTTGGATCACTCGGATACCTCTATCCCCTTACCCGACTCTAGTATACTACGCCCAGTACCTTTATAATATCCTCACAATCACGCTGCACTACTTAGGGTTTGTCCTATCTTTGGCGGTGGCTTAGTCACACCGTAACCTTCCGGTGATTCTCTTTGCGGCAGCTGTCCTCTCGTCTCGCTAGATACCCTCCTCCTCTGGTTCTCTCTCTCTTTGCTATTCTCTCCTATATTACCTGTCACCTTCCCTGTGATTCTTGACTCTGATCTCTATGCTCTGCTCTCCCTGATGCCTCGTACCATACTGACTATGCTATGCAGTCGGCCTGCATGCGCGCGCCCCTCTCTTTGAATCTGAAAACCTCCAACGTTCCTAAAAACCGGTAAATAGTTAGAGGTTTCAAAAACTACGCCTTTGACGTTATAACTCGGCCCTTAATTGTTTCACAACGCTTTGCGAGCTTATCCATCTCCCTTCTCTCTCTTACACTTACACTCACTCAGCCATATCTCACACACATTTAACTTCTCTCATTGCCTTCGGTCCTTCTCTCTCCTCTTGGCTCGTAGTCTGTGGCACCGAGAACATGCATTAAATAATGTGTTCAGAATATATATATATATATATATATATATAGAGCGCGCGGTGGCTCAGTCGGCTAGGTCGTAGATTGGCACGCGGGAGACCGTGGTTCGATTCCCGGCCAGTGCGACTTATCGGGCAAGTACCTCTGTGATTTTTAACATGTGCTTTTTCACCATGCAATGCTCCTCGAGGAGGGTTTAGGTGACCTCCTCGCAGCATAATTGCCTAATTTCCCCCTACCCCCCTCCCAGTAATGGGAAGCCTCCCATCCCTTTTCTTGTCCCTTTCCCAAGTGCTAAGTGCCCATAGTAGTGCCCTTATTAAAGGAGCCGAACGTAGAGCACTACAATATAAAAAAATATATATATATTTAGTATACAGCAAATATATTCATTATTATAGGACTCGGTAGTCGCTGATGACTTGTCCAAAAATATAGGTATACAGTGACGTGATAGCTATAGCTACCACGTCACAAGCCATACTTTTGTACATTACATACTATCCACTGCCATTTGTATAGATGTATAGTTAAAATTAAAGACAGTTTGGGCGGTTAATGTCTGACATAAAAGAGGGTGATATAGGTATCATTCCTTCAATATACTGCAATATTTTATAGTCAATTTAAATGTATTCTAGATTCGTTGTCAATTGAATTTCATTTAATACTCTGTCCGATCTTTGTATGTGTGTAATTATGAATTAATTAAAACTGTTTATTGATTCACAATATCTAATGTTAATTTGGCAGTTACATTTTTTTAATAAATAATTATTACAAGTAAAGTATTAAAGTATGAACAAATAAAGATTTTTAACCGCGTGCATTCCATAGATTTACAGCTGTATTTTTAGTTAAAAATACAGCTGAAAAGTATAGCTGAAAATACAGTCGCATGTAGCTAAAATTTTAGCTACATTTTTAGGTAAATTTTAGAGCTGTATTTTCAGCTGTTAATTTTTTCCCGGGCGTAGTAGACATCTAACCAGGGCGATATAGTAACATGTGCCACTAGAAACGAAAACGAACATTTACTACGTTAGGCATTTTTTTAACATTTGGACGTTTAGTGGACCCTTAGTTTTAGGGGTAGGGTCCAATAGGGTTCTCACCTGGTACGCATCCAACTAGGGCAATCACAAGGAGTCCCTCGAGGCCTGCTTCACCGGTCTCTCAGGCTTGGTGCTTGCCCTTGCAACGTGTGCCAGCAGGTACGAAAACTACCATAACATCACTGTAACTTAATATTTTACAATTATCAGGCCTTATAAGCATTAAACTACAACTTCCAAAAAAAATACTGACAAGAAAAGCTATTTAATATTGTTATCGTAGACATGATGTGCTTTTTTAAAGATTCTACAATGTTTTGCCCGTTTGTATGTATGCATATTGCCACGTCAGTTTGTGCCACTGGGCAGTTAAGCAGTGGGCACGTATGTATGCGTGTGTTACTTGTGTCCAATTAAAGTATGAATGAATGTGTGTATATGCCTGTACACTGTCTAGTTCACGAGTTGTCTACTAGCATGCAGACGTGAATACAGGTAATCCTGTGTACATATACGCACAAATGTGAATACAATACATATATAGACTAGTAAATGTTGCCATCGAAAAAAAAACTAAGACTACAAAAATAATAATCAAACACAGTGGTATGTGATAAAGTAGTCATTTTCATGGCATCAACCATGATAATATAGAGTGCCTTTTTTAAGACGTGTAATATTTCTATTGTTACGTATTTAAAAGTATTCAACACACTGAAAGATTCCAGAAGTAATGAGATCAACAGAATAACTGCAAGTTTGTTGCTCCATAAAAATGTTCTTACTAACCAAAAATAATTTAATATTGATAGAAATATCTTTATCAAGATAATGTGAGTAAATAAAAAATTTTACGTAAAGAAACTAAATATTTACAAAGTAACGAGATAATCAAAAAATATACATGTTTCTAAACTTTTCCTTAATCTATGTTATGATTATTGCAATACTTAAATAAGGTAAACATTTTAATACAGAGAAAATATGTCAATACTTTGCAAAATTATTACATCTGGATAACTTGCCAGGCCAGCTTGATACTGTTTTTGATGAGTAATAAAAATTGTGTAAATCCTGTTTTTCTTTTGAAAAAGTTTATTAATTGTTTAATTGGACCACCTTAAGTATTTAAATTATTTGTTTTGTAAAAAAAAAAAAAAGTTTTATCAGCTACAATAAATGTCACATTTTATATTATAGGTAAATTACTGACGTTAAAGTTTGATATAACTTGTTTTAGTCTGCAGCGATGATTGTATGTATTTAGAATGTTTCGTTGGAATAAAAAATTATGCACTGTACGTTGCCTCAAGCAAAAATCCTAGTACAGACATAAAAAAATACTTAAAAGCTGTACAAATCATTTGGACTAAAGAAGCTTAGTGAATAAACAAAAAAGAGCATGCAAATCAGTTTCTAATTTATTCTGTTAAAACTGGCCTGTAGGAGTAAGCACGTTAGAACAGTATGGTGGAGTTGGAGGTGGCGAGAGTCGCTTTCAAGGATGTCAGATTGGCTGTTAAGATCGATTAACGATGAGAACGCTGGGTTAAAGGCTCTAGGCTAGGTGAAACAACTGGTCTATCGAGATTAAAGTTGTCGCTGGAACTGGTGGGTGGCTGACCAGTAAAATGTAGAGTACAAAGTAAGGCGGCCACCAGTGTAGTGGACGTTTGATTCCCTTGTTTGTTGGACAGTTGTGTAAAGAGAATTGGTAATGGTATGTGATATAAATAACTGGAGACGAAATTTGGCATTGATACGTGGACGTGGCCAGAAATGACCCTCGACCGACAAACGTAAAAAACTGTTTCTAAGATTTGTAGGATTTTACTGGTGTTTCATGAAAAATTATGCACGCATTGTCCAACCTCTATCAAGACTTAAAAACGGGCACTGCATTTAAATGGGGTGACCAGAAGGAGCAGGTGCTCGAAACTCTTGTGAACTCACTGTGCAGTGGACCTGTACTCATCGCCCTAGATTTAAAAAAACCCTTCATTGTGACAAAAGATGCATCGGACTATTCGCTGGGCACAATCCACAGTCACGGTAAAGTAGAAAATGATAAACTGTGCGAATACGCGACTTGTTTTTCAAAAGAAAGCAAGCTTTGTTATTCTACATGTGAGGAGAAGCTGCTGGCAATTATATTCTCGAAAAAGTAATTTAAACCTTATTTATCTGAACGTAAGTTCACAGTGATCACCGACCATGCACCTCTGAAACATTTCCACTCATCAAAGAAATAACATATTTGGCTCAATGAACTTGGAGCAGAACTATCAGGTTATAAATTTAAAGTTATATATCACCTTGGCATAAAAAACAGGCCACTTGGCGTGCTTTCACGAAACCTGATAGTACACAAAGCAGAAAAAAATTTAGAGCGTTCTATACAAGAGCTGTATAAACAATTCCTCTTCTCTCCACATATGAAGGCAAGGGTCGCTGGTATGTGACTGTAGTCCTAATTTTGAGACAGTCTCACGAAAACGCTCGTTCCACCTTTTCAAGCTAATCTTAAATCCATAAAAAGCTTTCTCCAATTCACAAACTT